AAAAGTCCAACAAGAAACAGAACTCCACTACTCTTGCAGATGCATTATGATCCATCTGTTCTCCTGAAGAATATATTCTGCAAATGGTCACCTCCTAGATTGCTAAAGAAGACAGCTTTGATGCCACAGAGAATTAAAGTAAACACCTTTCTCCCATTTAATTTTGTAGCATGCTGCGTTAAAACAAAAAATTGACACTGAAAACAATCACTTTCCAAAACTGATTCAATATGCAATGACTAACTGTGGAATAATTATTTTGAGGGAACAGTGAATAATACATTTTAGTATTTTTAAAACTTAAGATTTCAGAGTTGAATGACAAAGAATATGAATATAACAAGGATATTTAAGAACTTCAGTCTGCAAACCACAATGTCTATGTGAATATTGTAAGCATTTTAACCTATATATAAACTTTACCACTCTTGAACTTTCAATCTTGTTTCTTTATCTTCCAATACAACTTTGGACAAAATTCAAGCTTAAAGAAACAAGGGATGGTATTACAAAGTCTTAAACAACAAAAGGCAGCAGAAAAACCAAAAAGTCAAAACTAACTTCCTGTTATATTTATATTCTGCATTATCTTCAAAGAGTTTGGAGGTTTACAAATAAGTTCCAGCTGATCTCTAATTGCTTTTTGTTTCTTCAAATTATTATGTACCTTATTATAGTTTTAAATTACTGCTTCTGGTGCTAGTTCTTACCTCTTTCAATATATTGTTTAGTTTTCTTTACATGTTTGTACACATCTAGAGTACAAAATGGAAATCCTGCTCCCATGGAATTATAGCTTTCATTTTCAAATTTTAGCTTGAATGTAGCAGTGAATTTTATCAACAGACAAAACATATTTTTAAAAAGAATTTATTACTTACACTCCTGAACATTTAAGATAGCTCTTCAAAAAAATGTCTTAACTCGTCTTAAGAAAGGAGGAACACTCAGCAAGATAGCAAGTTGCTTACAAAAACTTCATACCCAGCCATAACACTGGGTATGAAAAATGAATATTTTTCAAGACAATGAAAATGAGTTCTCAATCTTCTTGAGTCTGTAAGCACATTCAGAATTTTAACATTATATTGCTTGCTGTAGTGATTACAGTGCAGTACAATCTAAACTCAACAGAAGACAAAGAATCTTCTTGACTCAGCCTCTTTAAACCATTCAAGTGTATTCAATTTTATTACTCCAATATGTTTATATTGCTGGGGTTTTAACTTTCTTTCTTTCTTTGGCTACAATCACTATTTTATTTTCTAAGGATCCTCTTAAGTTATACCCCAGAAATATTCTTCAAAATAAAGATTATGCTTGACTGATGTTTTGCATCATACTATTTTATAGTTTACACACACACACACACACACGTACACACACGTGCACCTACCCGAATGTGGGATCTTAGAAATAAAATAGGATATTTTCAGGAATATTTCCAGGAATACTCAAGGAAATTTTTAATTGCATTTATCCACTTTTCTTTTTCTTATTATCCTCAGTCTTGCCACACATAAATGCTTATCTAGCCATCAATTCACACATGACAGGCACAAAGAGTGTGAGTTTCAGCTTTTTGATAATTGCCTCAAATACTGTCTTTACTGGTTCAGGACAATTGATTGTTTTTGTAGTTCATAGTACTCTTAGACAACTCTGAATTATGGGTCCATACTATCTTTTTCTCTCTCATTCTTTCTCATTTTCCACCTTTCACAGGAAAAACTATTGCTTTACTGATTCTGATTTTTATCATACCTTTCTTTATCCTTTATGATCCTAAGCTTGTCACTGCCTTCCTCTAAGATTAATCTTCCAATGTCTGCTATATATTGCAGAATTCAAGAAAACAAAACACTTTGCCACATTTGTCATCAACTATAAATCCACTAAAATGTTAAAATTTTTCATTTTCCATTTTACTTGCATAAAACGGTCCTGTAAATCTTATTTTGGAATAGAAATGTGGCATTTTTTCATATTTCAATTTTTTAGTATTTGAGTTTCCAATTTTTATTTTTGCTGTCATCTCTTCCAATCTTGCCATTTTGCCATAATATAATCACTCTGAAAGTTAAAAAAAGATGTATTCTTCTCTCACACTCTTTCCTAGTTTGAATTGTTCTCCAAACTATGTTCTTATAGTCCTATCATGTTCATTTGTATAAGTTTCTCAAATAATAAATAGTTACTCTGGCACTCTCATTAACCTTAATGCGTACCACGTGCTGAGATCACCTACAAATAAAGGTCACTGTCAAGAAAGCAAAGGTGCACCTCTTCTCTTGCTCTATTACCCAACTTATTTTCCCATCTGATCTGTTTCTGTGCCCTACTGATTTTGCAATCTTGATTCTTAAAGGTTGAACTTTTCATTTTCCTTTAACTTCATTTGTGTCTATTATATGAACAGTCCTATTTCATCTATAAATCTTCTAGAGATTTATTTTCCTAAAAGACTTCTCTTTTTTATTTTCTTGTTATTTTCCTGAACCTATTGATGCTCTTAAGTGAAGTATCTTTCTTTGCCATTTTGTTGAATGTCTGTATTTAGCCATCATACATACATCCTACTTGTTGCCCAAGACTTTCATCTTCCATCGTATCTCACTATCATAATAGCTTGTCCTGAAACCCACTTGCATCTCCTCCTGTTTGACATTTTGAGATATGTTTTGGCTTTGATATTAACAACGTCTCATTCCATTCAGTAGCTATTCAGGCTTTTTTTCTCATAAATTTATCAAATCTGTTCTTTGCACTTATATTCTGAATGTGAGTTCTTTCAAGTAGATACTGTTTAAACATCTCCACTTTTCCTAATTTCAATCTGTATATTTGATACTGGTATCAAATATATTGGAATCCTGACTGACTAGATGCATTTCTGTTTACTATTATGTAGCTTACAGTATTTTGATTCTGACATCACTCATCCAATAATGTGTGGAGTCTTATTTATGTTACCTGGACTTTGCAAAACTATTAACCTCTATCAAATCAATTTTTATTGTAGATTTGGGAGGTGGAGGGGGATGGGTAATGCCATTACATTCTAGTTCCAACTTTATGTATTCCTGTAAAGGAAGAAACTTTTCTTTCAATACTAACACCATCAGTGATCAAACCTTCTTGAGCTTATGTTCTGGGCACATCATCGCTGCCCTCTAGATTTGTAAAAATTAAATCCTCTTTTCCAGTAACCAGAGGAATATCTCCTGATGGGGGTCCCAACACTGGAGACCCAAACTTATATAAACATTACTGTTATGCATATACAGTTTTCTTGGCAGCATTATAGGAGTTTATAAGAAGTTATATTTAGATTATCTATAATCTGTGGGAAAGCTGTCTAGCAACACAGTTTAAGAATTCACTCCCAGGCTGCTTAACACCAAATGCTCTCAACCATAAAACACTATACTTTGGCCTCTTCAAACCTGAATCTTCTCTTGTTTCCTGCCCAGCAAAGGCATTCTAATAGCCACATTGTTTCACTTGGAAAATTCAGATATCACTTTCTCTTCAAGAATGAAGAGGGGTTGAAAAGCAGTCACTGTTTCCAAAGACCATAGCAACTGACAATAACAAGTCAATTTAGTCACTTGCAGAGTAGGGCCAAAACTTTAGATATAATTCTGTACTGTTGAATTCAGCAGTTTATTTCTGAATAAATTTAAGATTGCACTGAATTAACCAATAACAGGCATGCTTTTCGACGTATCAGAAGACTGCCCAGTGTGTTTGAAATTCAGTGGAAATGATCCATTGATAAGCTATGATAGCAGCATAGGCCTCTTTAATATCTAACATGCCATTTTAAAGCATGTTTAATATAGGCACAAAAATATGGTTATTTATGGTATTTGGGGCAGGGGGAGGAGCTGTAGAGTAAAAGCAAACTCTTCCCTGGTTTGCAGAAACTGGCACTGTTGTCAGTCACCAAAAATAATGAGGTAGTCTATATTACTATTACTAGCATTATACCAATTTCAAACTAATCACTTAATCTCATTTTATAAAGAACTATCTCCTCTTCTACACATTCATGAATCCATTAGGTAAACAGCTAGCTTCCCTGGTGCATATCTAACTAAATGTGGGAGATGCATGTTAGCAAGATATTATTACTGTAAAAATGCTGTAACTGAGCATTTTTACTCAGGTAAATAAAAGCAAGAACAAATTTTTGTAGAAGACAGTTAAATTATTATTTTTTCCTGAAGCTAGTTATTTACATTCATTTTTATTTATCTCATCTTTCCTACAGGCCCACCTTCCTCCTGGACTGAGGATGAAATCTAACAGAGCCCCAAAGTAGCTATTGATTCTTTCTCCTGCTGCATAGTTGTCTTTTGTGTTTTCAGAGATCAGACAAAATAAAGCTTAAAGCCATACCAATGTCATTCTTAGACATTAAATAGAGACAAATTCTACAAGACTGTTATCTCTAGGCTAGGATTTATTGTTCAATCATCGTAAGAAACTTTTGTACTTTGTTTTATTGCAAGTCTTGTGTGTTTATATAAAAAGAAAAGCAGGGCATAAATTTAAAAATAGATATGAATATCTGCCTTAAAAGCAGACAAGTCGAGACATGTACTTGTAATCTCTCTTACTCCCTTTGTAGACATAATATTTGTTGTTTCACAGCATTTTATTTCTGCCGGTTGTGGCATACCATCACACCCACCCTCCCAGGGACCATTAGAATTAGGAAGAAAAGGTAGCCCAGCAGTGAAAGAATTTCGCCCAAAAACAAAAAAAGAGGAAAAGAAGAGATTTCTCTATCCGATTTTAACTTCCCTACGATAGCTTCAGAACGAGAACGAGAAGTGCCCAAAGTTAGCGCCTCGTGGTCAGCTCGCGGGGCTGCAGAACTTGGGACTTACAACTCTGGGATACAAAAGATAAGCACTCTGGTCCCATCCTGGAGGCTCAGCCCCAAATCCGTTCGCCCATTTAAAGTGCACGATTACAACCATTTCTCTCACCTTTACACACAGGAGAACTAGGACTCTTGCTCTCCGGAGAGGCCCTGTTTTGCTCCGGCGAATGCCGTCGCTGGCGATGCCGGATTTTTCCTCCTGATCCGGCGGCGGCGGCGACGGCGGCACAGGCGCTGCCCTCAGGCACCGGCGGCGAAACCGGGGACGAGCAAGGCGAAGGCGTCGAACCGGGCAGGGGCGGCGCCGGCAGGCGAGGGGGGCTGCCACGCGCCCCTCCCCCGCCCGTGGGGCTGCCGCGCGCGGAGCCCGAGGAAGAGGACAAGGAGGGGGTCCCCGTGGCGGAGCCGCCCGCCCCAAGAAGCGTCTGCGTGCCCACGGTCGGGCTGCTGCTGCTGCTGCTGCTGCTAAGATTGGTGTTGCCCCCGCGGGCGCCAGCGTTGTTGCCGCTACCAAGCGTCGGTCGCGTGGGGCTGGCGGCACGCGCGGAAGGCAAGGGAGGGGGCGGCGGCGGCGGTTGGAGTGGGGCGTTTGCTGCTACCGCCGCCACCGCCGCCGCCGCCCCTCGTGGAATGCTGCCGCCGCCGCCGCTCCTCGTGGGGCTGCCGTGCTGCTTAAGCTGGAAAGGCACCGTGGCCCGCATGGGCTGTAGGCGGCTGTTGGTGCCGGCTGCCCCGCCTGCCGTCGCCGCCACGGCCGCCGCCGTAGTCGCCGCCACGGCCGCGGCTCCCCCTCCCCCCGAGGAGGTGGCTGAGGTCGGGGAGCCGCTGCGCCTCACGCGCGGCTGGGAAGACATGCTGGTCTTTTCCGGGCGCCCGCCCGAAGCTGGATCAGTAGTAATAGCGAGGCGCGGAAGCAAACAAAACCCCCACCTTCCTCCCCGTCCCTCCCCCACACCAGCACTGAATCCTCACACACGGGGAGACACTCGTGAGGCTTCTCCGGCCGCCTCATCAACAATAGTAGCCTCACCGGCCTCTCCCATTGGAGGCGCATCGACTCCGTTCCTGCCGCTACAGCGTCCTGATTGGCTGAGGGGCGTGGTCTAGGGGCGTGGGGGTGTGAGGCTTAAAGGGACAGGGCCTGATCTGGGCTACGTAAGAGGAAGGTGCGTGAGTCGTATGACAGGGCGCTGTCTACGCCTGTGTGCCTACTACTCGATTGAGGGAGGGAGGGAGGGAGGGATCTGGTAATGCCATTGATGCAGCCCACTCGTAGTCTTACCTTTCGTCTAGGAAATGCTGAATGCTTGCTTACGTTTCTATCCTGGACATAGTATAGCAGCTTTGAAGTTAAATATATGAACGAGCAGTTTCTCCTTTTGGCCACGTAAAACCAAATAGAGGCCTACTCACTATGTCTTCAGCATGTGCCAGTCCACCCTGCAGAAATTGCAGGGAATGTGTTGCTTCCTGTCCCACAGTCCGCCAGCCCATCCACCACTGATCCTTAGTTTGTTCCAAAAAGAGACATGGAATATCAGATACTCTAACCTTCCTTCCTCTGACAGTTCCAAATGTTATCAAAGCCAGCAACTATAGAAATATATTGAATTATTGATTTAATTAGCAAACAACAGTACAGTCAGAGTTCCTGGTAATCACGTTGTTTAGGAATAAACAAATGGTAGGCCTAAATTAATTCTACTTCCGTGCAGCTTGCCAACTAGCTCAGCACTTCCTATCTTTGAAGAAAGCACTAATATAGATTAACATATGTAGTAGCCAGATTGTCATCAAGCAATGTATTGTGATGGCATTGCTCCACTGAAGCGCAAATCAGGTAACAGACGTCTAGGGTTTTATGAATCCAGATTTGTGATCAAATGTATAGTATAGTATGTATAGTATGTATAGTATGTTATGTGGATCCAGAAAATTATACAAGCTATGGTTTATCTTAACATGATTAAGCACATTGTGTGAATATTTTTTTCTAATAGCATGTTTACACACACACACGCTCATAAATATAACAAATACAGACTTGAATATATACTAGTTTTATATTATCTTGTGATCCCTTTCAACCATCACTGTTTTTGTTCTATAACAAACTGATATCTGGCTGATAAAGATCATAATCCAACATTTCTGGTGGCAGCAGGTTGGCTTCACCTGATTCCTACTACATTGAAAACAAAACCAAATTTCCCATCCCATGCTACAGCAGTTCTTTGAATGCCTGAGGCTGCAACCTTTTCCCATATTAAATATCTACTGAGTCTGAGAAAAGGGTGTGGGGCTACTTGAGGAATCAAATGAACAGGTTTAAACCTGATTAAGAAATAATATCCATTTCCCACACCCTGTGTAACCCACTGTATGTCTTATTGCTGCATGAAAAAAAGGAAAACCTGTCCATCTGCTACTGCTGCAGCTTCTACCAAAATATTTATTTACTGTATTTGTTTTCCATTCTTCCTCATAGGAGAGTAATATTTTAGCTATGCAGTAATTGTGTGGGGTGGAGATTAATATAGTGTGAATTTCAGAGCCAAACAAAGGTAGTTTATACTATGGCTGTTCAGTGCTTCAGCAGTAATTAGAAAAAGGAATTTTGGAGTGTGCAAGAGTGCAACCTAGAACTTCACTGCAAGTGTTTAATTAAAAAGTTGCATCTTTTTCCTAGAATAGCGCAACAGCCCCTTGCAAGCTGATGTATAATTCTTGGAAAAGACTAGCGATTTGTATATAGATATTATATTTGCATTTCCTGTGTGCTCCAAGGCACCTTTTTGAAATTGAATCCTGAACATTACATAGTGCTAGTATATCCAATCAAGCTGACCAGCACTGTTTTCCTGTACAGTAGTAAATATTCTGTCCAAAGTTGTCTTATCAATGTAGTCAGCAGTTAGATCCATCAGTCATTTGAAACTATGGTTTATTTTCACCATTGTTTGAGTGGCAGTTGTAGTGACTAGATTCACAGATTTTGAGTGTAACTTTAAACCCTTTCTTTAATTATGGCTTTTCAGTAAAACCTGTCCAGCATTGTTATATTCTTCCATTATTAAAATAACAACACTAGACAACCATGACCACTGAGTCATCATTTCAGAGGTATTTCTTTACTAGTTTCCTCAGTGCCTTCAACAGTGGCAGAGCTTCTA